AGTATTCGATATTTTCGCCAAAAAAATCAATGATTGTTCAGTATCGTCTCATCATCCTTGCTTTGTTGAAATTTTTAAAAAATCAAATCATCAATTATATTTCATGATTGGCCTTCTTTAAAACGTTGGCAAGTTTTTGAGTAGTGTTGATGTTTTAAAAAGCTTGATACAGAAGCGCTTAGCCGTTGCAAAAAATAAGCTGACGGCGGGCGTGGGCGTGTGAGCTACAGAATTACAGAATGCCCGGGAAGTCTTACGAAATCAGTACTACCACATAACAGTAGAATTGGCGGTAGTGCCGTTGTTCTAGGTCATGTCTAATTTCTTTCTATCTCCCTTTATCCCTTGACCCGTATTGCCACCAGAAGGTCTGCGCGCGAGATTGCATGGGGTGGGGATTAGCTAAAGGTCGACTTGGAGGAATCAATACTCTATGTATCTATAGGAGTTTCACCATTTTATTATGGTTGGATGGTGAACTGGGTCATTAGGGCAAGATAAATGATTGAAGGTTCATCCATATGGATTTTTATATCGGACTAAAATAATGTAGTTTTTAATTCCATTTCAATTTTAAGATGCTGTGAAAATTTGCAATATGCTCCAAAATGGTCTTTCCTATCATACTTTAAGATTGTTGTACTATAAAATTTTATTCAACAGTTTTCGTTCAAAGTTTTGTGCATAGTTCAAAAAATTAGCTATAAAATGTGCCCTTTCCGTTTGCAGTTGACCTTTTGAAACATGAGATATAAATTTTTGGAATTCAAGTGATTTAACACGTGTTTAAATAGACTTTCAGCGATTAGAATTTTTAAAATATTAACGGCTCAACAGTTATCGAAATAAAAAAACAAGTGGAATATATGTTGTTGTAAGGAATATAGAAAAAAAATCAAATCGATTGATCATTTGGTTTACGCGATATAATTATCGAAAACCCATAGATTTATATAATTGAAAATAGTTAATATGGAAAATATATAGGTATACTTCAGCTACCCATGCACAATGCAATCAATCAAGTGCGACTATATACCATGAAAAGATTGTGTTCTAAACTGGCCCGTTTTACAGCGAATAAACGTTTTGCAGAGACCATCGCGATACAAGAACTTTAAGATATTATCCAGTGAAAATAGACACAAACCCAAAGATGTTGAAGGCAAAGCGAGTATCCATATGATTCTGTTTTTATTCCATATCATTTCCTCAAAAATTTGAATAATGTATAACTCCACGTTTTTTTGACTGTTCCAATGAATTTAGGTTCGCTTCCTTTTGCCAAAATTTATTTTTTCCAAAAATCAGGTAAATTAAACCATTTCAGATATAATTTACATTTTTGTTGTAAGGTATTCATCACAATAAATGTGGAATTTCCATGATTTTTCACATTTCTCAATGTTTTGAATCATTTTGAAGAAATTTTAAGGATTTGAGTGTGGGGATTCACTTTTTTTTCTGTCGTTATGTATCACACCGAGAACACCAACCGTAAAATACGGTGTCTAGAACGCCAATTTACGATGTTTTCACTCGTGTAAATTACGAAGTTGAAATAGTGTATTACGCTTCGAAGGTGTCAATTTTATTTAGTGGTGGAAGATTGACAAACCGAACCAGAGGCAAGGTTCGTTATTACACACGTGATATACAAAATGTATGTTTGAGTGGCGTACGTTATTTTACATTTCAAGGGGCAGTATAATCGGCCGGTTACTGCACGCTGATGTGTTTGTGAACTATTCAATTATGCTTCCAAACTTGTACATGACAACTTAAAACTCATCATTCATCATGTCGGTCGGGTAAAAAACGAGATTCATATCGTAAATGGAGCGATATAGGTTGAAAAACATATTTACATGGACAGTAATGGATTTTTACGTTTTCGATTTATATGAGAAAATTATAAGTTAAAAATTCGGAAGAAAAGCATGGTTAGAGAATACTATATTATGCACCCCCGGGAGAAAATGGTTCTGGACCGCGGTGCATATGGTACTTTATGCCCCAGGTGATAACAAGCGCGATCGAACCGAGCGAAGCGAGGTTAGGATCTCTTTTTTTTAGTCCCGCTGGGACATATATGAAGTTTTTCTGTTTCAAGCAAATGCGAATCCTCACAATTATAGTCATGAATCTCGGTTTTTGAGAGGTAAATCTCAAAGTCGTCAATAGATTAAGATGATTTGCAGAAATTTTGGGTTTTTTAGTTTGTTGATTTATAGAATTGAAAAAAAAATCGATTGCTCCTCCGTAACGTAATCTTTGTACAAATAATTAGGTTGTAAAACCAGGGGCTGAGATTTCTTAGTTATTCACCGAAAATATGAAAAAAAAACCAATTTATCTTTTTTTCCTAATTCTATGATTCTCATGAAAAAAAAAACACAATTTACCCTTTTTTTTCTAATTCGATCATTCTCTCTATGGATATCAGTCAGTTTGATTTTTTTTTCTTTGAATTAATAAATATTCATATGCGCAGTACAGCAGAGCACATTCTCAGCAAAATCGACTTGGGCGTTTTCCACTTTCTTATAGATACAATTTCTGGCACGCTAATATCATTTCAGTATAATTTGGATTAAAAAATTTGGCATTTGAAATTCGAAATCTGAAAAGGAGATACACGGTAAGAAATTACTTCAATATCTATCTACTGAACTTATGTAATGGTATTTATACAGTATACACGAATAAATCCCCTTTACTACGTTTGGAATCATTTTCATTCCACATAATAAAAATAAGATAGCAATTCGAAAAATTCTTTTCGGTTACGTTATAGAAATCGCTTAGGAGATTTTCAACAGTGCACGACGAAAAAAATACAAGGAAAAGGACATGACAAGTCACATAATTATGGGCGGAAGAATGATTTCAGTCATGTTTATCTAAAATCATGATAAAAAAGTTGATAGGTTGATTTTCAAACAGCGAAGAGCGCGTAAAGTAAATTTTTTCGAATAACAAAAAGTGAAGTATTTTGTAAACTTTGTAGGAATTTAAGACAGATATATATTCTGGTTGATCTACATCGAGCCCATTGAGACGAATATTAAGAAAAAAAATGGATTGAGTAGTTTCTGGGATATTTGCAAAAAACTTTTCCGAAATAATAACTGATATTTCGAAAAGGATACCACCGATCGAGCGGAAATTTAGTACGGATTAAGTCCCTACTAGGACCTATAGACTGACGAAATGTCAAATTTAATCAGATTAATTTATCCTTTTATTTCTCTCATTTTCTAAAGGCTCACCGTCAATTGATCACCCGCACACATATACATGGCCTTCAAACTTCGTATTTTTCCGCTTCAAACCCTTCTACATAATTTCCAAGGAAAATTAACTACAATGAGTTAAAAATTCAGATTTATTGCGACAAATGTTACTACAGTGATGTGGAATTTTTTCAAAATTAATTTTGAACATTTCAAATTTTCTAGCACATAGATATCGACATGATCTTAAAACATAGTTTTTTGCAATTGAAATTAGAAAATCGAAAAATCGGAAAATACAAGGCTTTCATTCGGAAGCAAAAATGGGAGAATCAACATAAAGATGTGAAATTCTCCACAGAATCATTTTTTTGTCTCATCCCTTTTAAAAAAAAGCATGTAACGTTTTTTGTCAGCTTTTTTTGGCGCATAGCTAAGCTATGCATATCATATTGATATATTCATATAAATAATTAATATATATGTATTATATATATATTAATTTAAAATTTATATACAATTTGTTTATATATTGAAAATTGTTATATTTGTCAATTGAATTTAATTAAAGAAAAAAACTTAAATTATGACTAATTTTTTTAGATACTTAAGATTCTTTTAATATGCAGATTTTACATGAAGATTTTATATGATAATACCCCATACATGTAAGCTTGGGCGCGCATTGTGCGCCGTATACACTAGTAAATAAATAAAAAAATTGGCTTCTTGAGATTGGTTGGTGGCAGAAGCATCATGCCCATCTGGCTCGACCCTTTACGGTATAGTCACGCATTTTTTTCGGAACTGTGAAACTTACAGCGTTTTAAGTAAAAAGTACCCCAAAGGAGGTAAAAATTACTCAAGGATGTTTAACCGATATCGACAATATTCAATGGAGTCTATATTTTTTTTATACAATAGCTGAGAGGGGAAAGGGCTAAACAGGGGGCAGAAAGAGCCGGAATACGAGAAAACCAAAAAACAAACGGAACCAAAATCTGGAAATTCATACCCAGGTGGGACGTGCCAAGCTGTGACAATAGGACCAAACTTGGTCCAATCTTGGCTTACCCAGCCTTGGTGTACCTAGATTGGTCCTTGCTTCTTTCAATAGATATACCAGGGTAACCCTAAGACTAGTCACCCGACATCCGGATACCAAGCTTGGACCAGCCTATACGCAATATTGGTATCCAAGACTTGATGCTCTCAGACTCGGGCCGGGCTAAATACTGGCCTGCTGCCCAAGCCTCAGTAATGTCTGAACTTAGACTTTATATTGAGGCTTGATACCCAGCCTCAACCAAAGTCAATCCAGGACTGGTATTGAAGGTTAGGTAATACAAAGATTATGCCAGGTTGTAGACACGATTTATTCAAAGCCTCAATATAAAACGTAAATCCAGACATTGAATTATTTCACCTAAGAAAATTTTCAATTCGGACAATTTGGAAAAGTATAAAGGATTCTTTGTCAAAGTATAAATTTTGATAATGAAATCGTTCAGAATAACTGGAATGTTTCGAATTGAACTTACACGACCTGAAAATGACATGCCATCACCTGCCTTGGAGGAAAAAATATTTTCTGCTGTCAAGAATATCAGTCCTTGACTGAAATAAATTTTTTTGTTAATGCAGTCGCGCAATGACAAAGTTCCGGTATTTAGACGTGCGCCAAGCTCTATCCGAGATTACTTTCAGAGAGCTTCATAACCTCTTTGTCATATTCCTGTCAATCAACATCGACGACATGGCTAGTAATAGGCGCAAATCAACTGGAAGAGTGAGAAAACACCGTTATTTGAAGAAAGCCGAGTCTGAATGGATGAATAATTTATGTATAAGTGGTGATGATCTATCGGAAAAACGTGTATTGTTTGAGTTTAGTGAAGAACACGAAAGTGAATGGGTTGATGTAGAAGGGTTTAACCTCGAAGAGGATGCCAACCACGACCAACAAAATATGAGCGGGAATTCTTCGTTACATGCCCGTGATGTTGGAAGCTTTTCAGAGGAATTAGGTGCACATTTCGATTTCGAGGAGAATCACAAAATCCAATGAAGAAACACAGAAAAGTCGGTAATTGATAGTGAACCAGACGTGGTATCTCCAGAACCCCCAACTTTCCTGCTAAGAGTGCGCCAATGGGCAATCGACAATATCGCTTCAATGAAATTGAAATGTGTGACCGAAATATTGACACTATTCAGAAGTCTGGTTCACACAAATCTACCAAAAACAGCCCATAAATTACTAGGATTTCAACATAGAATAAAAATTAAAAACCTAGTTACTCTCAAAGATGGTGTGGGTCAATACGTTTACCTGGGTATCAGAAATGGTTTGTATAAACGAATGGATCCAGCAGTTTATCAGGAAAAAATTATTCGTGTTGTTGTACATATTGATGGCATCAAAGTTTTTAACCACTCGAACGATCAAATGTGGCCCATAGCAATGAAGATTTTACATCCGCAGTATACTGTAACTCCCTTCATAGTGGCATTATTCAATGGGAAATCAAAGCCAAAGAATGTGGGAGAGTTTTTGTAAGATTTCGTTTATGAGACTAAAAATTTGGTAAGAGACGGTATTGACATTGGTGAGAAAAAATATGGATTTCATATATCTGCCATCATCGCTGACAGTCCAGCGAGGGCGTTCCTCAAATGCGTTAAAGGTGCTACAGCTTTCTTTGGATGTGAGAGATGCACGATTAAAGGTGTAACAGTAAATAAAAAACGAATTTATCCGGAGATGGAGTATTCTTTACGAACTAATGACACATTCAGGGAGCAAACTCAACCAGAACACCATTTGACGGATAAAGTGACAAAACAGCCGCTTGAATCGCCTCTTGTAAAAATCCCTGGATTTGATCTAGTGAGGCAGGTTCCTCTTGATAGTATGCATTTACTCTTCTTAAATGTTATGAAAAATTTGGGGGAGAAGTGGGTCGTTAGAGAGAAAAATATTCACAAATTATCGACGGACCAGGTTGCTGTTTTCAAGAGATTGATGGACTCTATTACGCCCTTTGTGCCAGAAGAATTTCAACGAAAAAAATTTGATGTGCAAGATATATCCCACTGGAAAGCTACGCAGTATGCGTTCCTATTGTTATATGTGGGTGGAGTTGTCCTGCAACATGTTCTGGATGAGGAGCGCTATCAACACTTTCTGCTGCTGTCTATAGCATGCCGCATTATTTGCAATAATACCTGGATAAAAAGACATTGTGCAATTACCAAAAAATTATTTAGAGATTTTTTTCAATTATTACCATATTATTATGGGGAGGACTCGCAAACAATGACATTTCATCTTCTACTTCATATCTGTGATGATACTGAATATTTTTAGTCTGCTCTTTATGACTATTCGGCGTTCTGGGGCGAAAACTATATAGGGCAATTGAAAAAATATGTGACGAGCACTGCAAGACCATTACCACAAATTATTAACAAACTAAACGCGATTGAATCGGGTGATAACGTAAAGATAAAAAAACGAGAAATAATTGGAAATGTGAAAAAGCCAAAAATGGACACAGCTATCTTGAAAAACGACGAACGTTTTTTATTACTGGAGTCTCTCAAATATTATGACTTCGTTTTAAAAATTAGCAGGCCGGATAATATTGTTCAATTAGAGAATGAAGAGCTTGTCACGATTACAGGATTATTAATGAAAGAAAACTGTCAATATAACGTACAAAATGCGAACAATATCTTTATCGAGGGATACAGAGTCCAAGAAAGTGGTGATGTTTTTCGGGCCCCATGTTTTTCCCAACAAATTGGCATTTTTCTTGTAAAAAATGGTCAAAAGCGAGTGAGTTCTTACCATTAACTCAAGTGAAATGTAAATGTATTGGGGTGGTCGTAGAAAACAAAGAATACCTTATTTCATTACTGCATACAAAATTCGAGTAAGCTTGATTAATTGAAAATTTCAAAATGTTCGTTGTAAATTATTCTATTGTCAACTTGAAAAATTTTCAACCAATTGGATCTTATGAAAATGACTTCGTGATCTCCTGAGATAAAAAATAACATGAAATAGAAGTGAAATAAATTAATTTCATCTTCCTTAAGGTGGAGGGGGAGATTCCGATTGAAGGGGAAGTGAGGGAGGGTACTGTGCGTTCTTAGTTACGGTGAGTAAGGCGATGAGAATACTTCTTCGTCTGTCGTCCTAGTCTTTGTTTAGTTCAGAAAATTATCAATGCCCCCATGATTTTTAAAGATTGCGAGTGAAAATTTAAACCAAAAATTGAGAACAGGCTGTGCCATTTGTGAAGTGAAATAACACCGGTTGAGGTGCTTAACGTCGTTGGATTTTTCAGCCGCCATTTGACTATTTTGCCCGGTAACAGTTCCACGTGCCCTTCAGTAAGTACATGCTTGTATTTTATTCGACAAATTATTTAGTTTTCACCCATGTCCAGAATTCGAAATTCGCCGAAATTCTAAACAGTCCACAATTAATTTGATCAATATTTATGGGATAAATAGCGAGTCTAACCTCAAAAAATCAATCTAGTATAGCCCTTAGCAATCAGCGCGTTCAATTTTCGTTTGTTCTAGTTAATTAAGCATGAGTGATCCGGGAACAACGAAATACCATTATTACCTTGTTGGTTTCAAAGGCGAAGCCAATGCAGCAGGGGAAATGTTAATTGAAATTGTCCCTAAATCATGGTTAATAATGGAGAGTGAGGAAGACCAAGAAGTTCAATCTTACTACCCCCCAGAAGAAAATTATTGTAATCTTCAGACATGGCTAAAAGAAGAGATTCCCCCAAAACGACGAATTTGGAAAACTTATCCCATTGAAATACTGGGTCACACAGGTTTTTATTGGTTTATTTAAAATTTCCAATTCTCTAGAATTTCTGTAGATCAGAGTGCCCTTTTCCATTCATAGTAACACTCGACAAAGCATACAAGAAACTTGAGCGCTTGTATAAGACTCGTTCAGCAACAGAAACAACAGATTCCGAGGCAGGTAGTAGTCAAATCCTTAAATTCTCTAAAAAACGAGCTACGAGTATGTTGAAAAGGACGTATTCGCTCAATCTACTGGATGATATTCGTGAAGAAACAAATGCACTTCCTGCCAAAAAAGCAAGAGTCAATGATTCGCCAGGGAGAGATGGATCGCAAATTCCAATCTCTAGTACACCCAAAGCTCATTCTTCCCAGTCAAGCAAAATAAGTCCAACAAAAGGTATATTTTCATACCCTCATTTATTTTTTCGCTTTGGTGACTGTTGGGAAAATATGTCAATATTCCGGGAAAATTTCAAAATTTAACTCAAGGGAAGAATTCGTCAAATATCAAGTCCTAAAAATTCTAATCGATGCTAGACTTCCACATTTTAGAGAGATAAACATTTTAATTTATGCATGAATTTTTCATCAAACATCAATATTCATCATCAAATTCCTAAAACATACTTAGACCCTTTTCCAGCAATTACAAAAATGTACAATCTGAAGGGGTCCCTGAAAATTATTGAAAATTTGCATTTCGCGAATAAATATCCTCGAATTTCCGAGATTTTCCATCAATTTGAAAAAATAGTAGAAATTAAATTTTTCTGCTGTATTTTTCTTCAGATTTACCTTCCTTCTTTTCCAGTCAAAATCACGCCCTCAAGTAGACATTTACAGATGATACAATTAGATGATACTTTTCAAAAATTAAGGGAAGAGAATAAAGATGACCCTCTGCGAAGTAAGCGAAATTTTATGAATAGAGAGAAAACTAAAGTTTAATGAAATTATATAACTTTGGAGCTTTTTAATGGTGTATTATTCATTTTAATCATATTAGTTTTATTATAGTGTGTATAGCTGATTACGTTGACGCTGTGGCTATAAAATTGTCTCACAATTGGAAATATGATTTACATCTACTCCAAAGAAATATTCAACATGATATGGGCACAAAACTCAACACCTTTGGAAAGATTATGCAAGCCCCCACCGTAGGGAATATAGTTACATATGCTGAAAAATTGAGTATGAGAATGCCGATGGAAACACCTGAAGATTTTGATAAGTGGGAGAGAATGTTGGATTTTAAGGACGCAGAAAATATTGAAGAAGTGAGAAAACGACGAGAGGCTCTGGTAACTATTTTGTATTTTAAACGATTGAAATTAATTGTCGCAGTGGATTATAATTTTTCTATTGCTTCAGATAATAACTGATTGTGAAATTTGATTTTCAAATGGAATTCATGAATGATGAAACTTCTAGCTCCAATGACTCTGTAAAAGATATCAAGGCGATTATGAGAGCCATGACAAAAAGGGGGATATAGGTTTTATACAGTGGCGTTGGTCGTGTCTGCGGGGGCAAAAGCAAGAAAAATTTCAGTGCAACTTTCACCTATGCTTGCATGAGAGGTTTGTCAATAATTGTCAACTTCAATTAGAAAATAATGGTCCACTGAAAAATCAATGAAAATGCACTCTTTGATTTTCGCAGTAATTATATGGATTTTTTTTTATTTAGGTTTATTTTTGAACTCATATCCATAATAATCTACCAGAGATGCATTAGCAACTTTTAGCAGCGTTGAAATTCATGAAATACAATTTTTTTATTTGGAATTGTTTGAATTATTCACTTGTTTCTTTTGTAGCACTTCTAAATTAAAGATTATAAAATGACCCTCTTGGTTCTTCACATAAAACTTTCGAAACTCATATTTTTCTATTTCACAGACTTTCTCACAGCAAAATATCGGAAATCAGAGAAAGAGTTAAAGTTATCATCACACATCGGTGAATATTTATCAGGAGCACTTGATCGTGAGGGAGGCTGTAAAGAGTGAAAAGCTCAAGCTCCAAATCGGGAGACACCAGGAGCATAGCATCTAAACCAGACGTATCATTCGAATGTTTTCTATCTGTATGACAAATTTACTGAGTTAAAAATAAAAAAATATATTCGTTCATTGCATAATTGGAATCATTTGTATATTTGCGTTGAATTAAAACCGATCATATTCCTAGATAGGCACAAGCTAAATACCAAGCATGGCCCAAGCGAAGTCATCAGGCGAGGTTGTATGCTCAGCCCTAGCTTGGCCCCGTGTTTCATTCCAGGATTGGCCCAAGCTAATACACTTAGCAGTGGCCAATCCAGGCAAGGCTTGAAACAAGCTTGGATCAAGCCTGGCCCTATTGTCAGTTATCACCTGGGTAGCGACGGAGATTCGAGTAAAAGAAATACAATTTAGTCGAAAATTTCCCGGGTTCGTTGAACACTATAGAAGGGTGCGGAGAACAAGGTTGAGTCGCCAACCGGGCGCGTCTCCAGGTGGCGGATAGGAGGACGGCCACATGGATTAACCAGCCCACGACGGGACACGGCTGGAGAATACCCAGGGCCTGGTGAAGGGCTGGTGAAAAATACTGACCAACGGTGGTGATAGGGTGTGTGTATACACACCTAACAACCCCGTCGCGGACCAACTCCCCAAGCCAAGGCGTTATCGACCGTACCGACGGTTACGTGGCGCAGGGAATGCTGCGTCAACGGTGTCCCCCGGATACCAGGCGACCACCGGGGGTATTTAGTCAAGCCCAGGGCATACTAGGCTCTACTCGGGTGAAACCACTTCATCTAGAGACTCCTGAGATTCAGGAAGAAGAACAAGCCGGAACAATCCTGCGTCGTACGCCTCAGACCGCGACAAAAATGGTTCGACTAGCTCTTGTTCTAGAGGGCTAACCAGACGGTGATGAAGGGCCTGAAGGGACTAATGAAGTCCCAGATCCTACTCCTACCAAAGGGAATCAAACACCTGCTGGCCATGGACAGAAAAAGTCTGACCACTACGATCAGGCTGCTCACAGGACATGGCAGATGTAAAGAACATTGCAGAGTCATGGGCATGGACTCGGATGAGTGGTGTAGATTCTGTAATGAAGCAAAAGAGGACAGTCTACACATCCTATGTGACTGTCCGACTCTAGCAGCGACGAGATTGCGCTGGGGGTGCCTTCCTCACCGCAAATCACGTCGCGAGCAAGGATGCAACGGGTCTGTTAAAACTGGCAACAAAGGCCAAGCTCGACATATAATCCGTGCATATAATATGCGGAGCTACAATAACTTTAATCTGAGTTCGGTAGCATTGGGGAGGCTAGTTCGACCATCCGCGTACTTAAATCTAATCTAATCTCGGAGAAAATTTACTTACGTGTTTCACTATTGTCCAAGTAATTCGATATAAAAATGATAAATAATAATAATGGCCAACAAAGAGAAATAATAAAAATGCTCCGAGTACGGTTATTATATAAGCTAAATTATTATTATTAAATTCATAGTGCAAGAGAAGTCTAGTTACTATCAAGTCGATAATAAATTATGAATTCTTAACAATCAGCACGAGAGAAAAAAAGGTAACTGGCTTAATTCGGAGTCGAGGGAAATTAATTATAGGCAGTGTCTACACAACCGGTGTATGGGTGAATACCATAGACGTATGGAGTTTTTCTACCATGGATCTATGGCTTTTATCGACCATCTCCGCAAGTAAATCATGGTCTTTGGTAAGTTTTGTCAGGTGCATGGAAGTTTTTACCACGCGTCTATGGTTCTAATCCATGCGTCCATGGCACAATGCCATGTGCATGGTGATTTTTACCATGCATCCAATCGATTACTGAGTGTATGGCAATTAGAACTATGGTTTTACATTTTTTTATTGGTACAAATAGCACATATGTATCAAAGCGTATATGTATCGTAAAGTCAAAATTATAATCAGTCGGTAAAACAACTAATCGATTATTGGGTCAAACTGTAGCTAAAACAGGAATGGATATTTTCTACTAGAAACAAGCGTGTCCAAGAGTACAATAAGATCCGGAGAGCAGGGTTGCCAGATGCAGTGCTCGATAGATAGCCCCACTTCCCAACCTCCAATAGCCCAAAACCGCCTACAGCGCCCCTAATTCAAATAGCCCAATATCGCCTAAAAGAGCACATAGATTTGAATTTGAAAAAAATGTTTTCTTCAAATAAAACTAAAATAACCGAATAAAATTTGGACACTATTCTTGTTAATTTTGCGCTACATATATTTTCATAATGTTTCTCCTACATAATAAATACACCGTTTGTTAAATAAAATAAATTGACTTTCTCTGGCATATTTTTATGAACATTAGCAAAGTTTTCTGAATAAAATATACTTATTGAGTATTGAATACTTATCAACTGAACTAAGAACAATTGCCATTTATTAATATAATTAAAATTTCAAAATGCAACGATCTACGTCCGTATCACATTCACTGAAAAGCGTCATTGTTTCTTGAAATGCAGCTAATTCATCAGTTTCTTGAGTAGATGTTGCTTCATTGGCATTCATTTTTTTTGTAGCGTATATTTTGGAAGTAAACAATTCAAACATTGCCAGAGTTGGCTCGAACGATGAACAACAAGTTCCAGTACTGTGAAAATTAATCCTGATTCTTAAATGAGCCGAAAGC